TCTCAAAAATAAAACATTAAAAAAAAAAAAGCAGCATCATTTGGAAGTCATGCTCACCACCTTCAGATTTTTTTAAAGGGTTAATTTTGATAGGAAAGTAAAAATGGGAATGGTTTCACCTTCATCCCCGATCTTCACAAACATAAAGGCCATGATTTTCATTTAAAAAAAAGGTTCTGGACAGAAAGAGGATTAGCAAGATGGGGAACTCTTGTAAATCTTCTGGGCAGCAGGTTAGAAAGAACCCTGGGCTGGCCAGGTACAAGGGAGTCCAGGGTTTGCAGCCAGATCTAGGTTCAAATCATATGCCGGTGGACCACAGGTAGATTTCTCAGCACAGGCAGCATCTTGAGCAAAGGCCAAGAAACATGGGAGACTGCCAAAAAGGCTGAGTAAAGTGGAACAGAACCCTGGCTGGGACCCAGCAGGGGGCGGGAGGAGCAGATAAGGTTGGAGATGGAAGCGGGGACAAAACAGACACTGTAATCCAGACTCAGGTGTCTGAACTTCATCATGAAGATCACGGAGGGCCCCTGGAGGAACAGTAAGCCAGGCAGTGAGGTGACTGGATTTAAGCATTGCTACAGATCTCTTGGGCAGCATGGCAGAAGACAGAAAGGGGTTAGGGACAACAGTTGTGAAGCTATTTCAGGAAGAGAGAAGATAGGAACCTTCATCAAGGTATGGGCAAGAGAGTCGCAGGGACAGGCATGTGCAACAGAAGAGATTCTGTGAAGCAGCAAGTTACAGGTCATGGCAGTTGCCTGGATATGGGAAATATGGCTGATAGGGAGACGCCACGGCTTGGATCCCTGTTAAGGACAGACCTGCAGCCCAGTAAGGGCAGTAAGGGCAGCAGACAGCTTCCAGCTGCCAGCTCCTTCAGGCTGCTGTGCCAACATGACGCCTTTCCCAGGACAGCCGCACCTGATGACTTAGCAGAGACAGAGCAGAGGGATTGTGATGGCACCACTCACTCCAGAGCACTCTGCTGGGCTGGGCAAGGGGCATGGGACTATATCACGGCTCAATTTCTCCGTCTGCCTCATCCCCCTCTCCTCAACTTCTTATCACAGATGGCAACCCCTAATAATTTGAGAGAGACCCTCAAACCTGTCTCAGCATCTGCTGCCGGAGAACCCAACCAGGGGCAGTAGGCCAGGCCTTCTCTCCAGCCCACTGGTCCAGGCATGCAAATAAATATGCACAAAGCTTAACATCCTCCTTTGAACTGGAACACAGCCTTCAGGAATAGTCCATCTGGGCCCAAAGTAGGAAGAACTTTTGTTTATTTAGAGACCGAAAACAAACAGCTTGGCGTAAGAGAAGATGATGGAAAAGGTGGGAATCTCTGAGAAATCACCCCATCAGATCATGCTTTAGGCTTACCAGCCAGGGTTACATCTGAGGGTGGAGCTGTCAGAAGCAAGCTTTAGTGCGCCTGGACAACTTTTCTGGAAATAATCCTCCTTTCAGCTCTTCCTTGACCATAAAATTAAGTTAATCACAGCATCCATTTTCCCAGACTTAATCAAGACCTCACAGCCTCACCACTGGCTGTCTTTCCTAGCCTCTGTTCAGCCATTCATCCACACAGCTTCACAAACATTCAAGAACAATGGTGGCCCCGTATAGTTTTGCCCACCCTGTGGCAACATCGAGGTGC